AAAAAATATTATGAAAAATAAAATTTTAAATTTTTTTTTTCTTTTTTCTTTTTTCTTTCTCCTTCTCCTTTCCCTTTCCCTTTCTCCTTCCCCTTTCCCTTCTCTTTCCCCTCAGAACCTAGCAGGCCTTGGTTCCTTTGAACCCACCCAGGCACTGGGTTCCTTGCGAACCCAGCACGCTTGCCTGGGTTGGGGGAACCCACCGGCTGGGTTCCATGGAACCCAAGTGCTGGGTTCCCTCGAACCCACGCTTGGGTTCAAAGAACCCAGCTGGTTCGTGGTTGGGTTCTTTGGAACCCAGCTCGCCGCTGGGTTCTATGGAACCCAACCCAACCTTGGGTTCCGTGGAACCCAAGCATGGGTTCGAAGAACCCAACACACCTGGGTTCCTCGAACCCAGGGGTAAAAAAATATATATTTTTTGTGGGTTTGGTGTTTGATGACTGTGGGTTTGGTGTTTGATGATGATGAAAAAAGCAAGGCAAGGAAGAGGAAGGAAAAAAAAAGGGCATTGTTGGGTTTGATTCAACCCAGGTGCTAGGTTTGTTTGGTGCTGGGTTTGTTTGTTGGAGGAAGAAGATGATGGCAAATTCGTAATTTTGGTGGGCCCCACTTTTGTTGGGTTGGGCAAAGACATGACATGTCACGTTGCCATGTCATTATTTATTTATTTATACAACTGACGTGTCTCAAATGTTTGCCATGTCATTAAATTGTCGTGAGATAACGGTGAGATTTTAACGGAAGGACCAAATCGGGGTAAAAATGGTAAACAGTAGGGACCAAATCAGGGATTTTTTTAGTTCAGGGACCAAATCGAACGTCCGTACAATAGTTAGGGACCAAAAAGGGGTTTTAACCAATATTAAGAGCATGTAGAGTACAATATTTTTTTTGGTTAAAACCCCATTTGGTCCCTGAACTATTATACGGACCCCCAATTTGGTTCCTGAACTAAAAAAATCTTTAATTTAGTCCCTACTGTTTACCATTTCAATCCCAATTTGGTCCTTCCATTAAAAATCTCATGATGTGTCATGTTAATTCACTGTTACATGATGACATGTCAATTTTTAAAATACGTGGAAATACAATATGACAACAAAATAATGACGTAGAAAAAATAATAATATGATAAAAAAATAAAAATTCTTATATTTTTTTTTCTTCTCTTTCATTTTCTCTTTGCCCTCAGAACCAAACCTAGCAGGCGCAGGCACGGGTTCCTTCAAACCTAGTCGAGGGTTCGAAGGAACCTAGGTGCTAGGTTCCATCGAACCTAGTGGCAAAAAATTAGAAAAAATTTCTTTTTTTTTGTTTGTGGGTTTTGTTTGATGATGATGAAGAAACTAGCAAGGTAAGAGATTGGTTG